ATGTAATTTTGAAGAATATTGCAAGGTAACTTTATTAAAAATGAAATTTTTTTTCTTTAGATAGCTTTTAAAATTTAGCATCTAAGGGCATGACTGGGATATTTTACTTGGGGTCATTTCTTTTTATTATTACTATTATTTTCAAATATTAAACCAATTTTCCTGGGTTTTGATGAAGAGAAAATGGTCATTCCTTATTTTTCTAAAGTAAGTTAAAAAAATAAAAGTAAGTGTCCCTCTTTTCCCACTGCATGGCCTTATGGTCTGGCTTGGAAAGATGCTTAGGTGTTCCAAGAGTGTTTTCCTGCTGCTGCAACAAGATGATAGATAATGAATGTGGTAAGAGCAGCTAAGTTGCAAGGAAAAAAATCACCTCTTGCCAGAAAGACCAGCATAGTTTGAACTGTCAGTTCATGGTTGTAAATAAATCTTTTCATTTTAGCCTTTAGAGCATTAACATAAATTGTTTCCACATGCTCTAGACCTGCATGGCTCATGTCACTGGAGTTGCCAGACACAAATCTTCCTTCCTCAGGGGAAGAGAAATAAACAGATAGAAAATTCTCCATGTGTACTGTTCTTCTGGAAAAACAGTCAGGTGGGAGAGATGCCTGCACATCTCGGAGGAAGAGCTTTTGTTTGCTGTGCAGGTGGCTAACACAGCATGCTGATCCAGGGGCACGGGGAGAGGAAGACCCAGCCCTGCTCAGCTAATTCAGCCAGCAGCAAGCCCCCCTTTGGCATCCACAGGGGCTTCATTCTCTGTCTCCAGATGCTGTTACAACAACTTCACTGAATAAACGAAACAACTCCTACATGGTTTAGATAGCTCCCCTTGGCCTCTTTCTCTCTCTTGTGTGTGTGCAGATGCACCTCTCAGTGCTCAACACCCCCTAGGAAAAGTTGAAATAAGAGATGGACACAACAGCATTTATTAGGCTTGCAGACACAGCTGAAGAAGCAGGCATGGTCTGCTTTTTCAGTAGTCAGTAGTGTCATGGGATGGGGGAACACTGGATAATTTCTTAATGACATGATGAGCCCTAATATTTATGCAGTAATATGACAACTTTAGGAATTGCTGCCAGTAAAATGAGACTGAGCCAACAGGGAAAGAAGAGTAAAGAAGCATAGATTTTGAGTCAGTCTACTAACTTTTTGTTAATTTTTCTGCCAATTCTTTCTTCCTGTGAGACAGAGTGTGGGTAGTACTAACATTTGGCATAAGCTGTAGCTTCTCTTTTGGGCAGGCTACAGAAAGCTCTTTTCCTTTTGGAGATGTGCTTGCTATGTCTGATGCTGAGGAGGGAGACTGAATGGCAGAAAAAATCAATTTCTTCATCATGATTATGTTGAGAGCAATCTGAAAAAGCATAAGTATAGAATGACTACAGTAATAAAATCTAAATATCTTTAACCACAAGGAGATGTAATAATGATGAGCCTCTGTCCCACAACGCTTTATGGTGTCAAACACAAGAGAAAGAAATAGATCAATGGCAAGGAGGTTGAATTTCAATTTGTGTCCATCCACAGCTATGCAAATCTCCTGTTTTGGTTTTTTCCTCTTAAAGTCTAAAACAGTGCATAAAGCCTGCACTAAGCTAAACATGAGGGGATTTTATATAACAGGAAGTAATGGACTGGCAATGTAAAGGACCATGTGTACAAAGTGATAGGCAAAAATATTGCTCAGTATGATTTCACATTCCTTGATTGTAAGACAACAGTGAAATTATTTGTTTGAAATTCCTTCTAGTATTTAGTAGATAGGACCCATTATTATCTCACACTTAATTCTCTCTGGAGCAGAAAAAAACTCTGTACAATATGCTCAAAATAGCACATAGTAGGTCATGAGATTCAGTCCAAGATCTGGATTTAAACAGCCTGGAATTTTGGGATGCTTCAGCCTTAATTCCAGCTTACTGAATGAAAGCACATGAACCTGAATTCCTAACTTTGAGAGATATTGGATCCAAAATTGGTCCCAGATGCAATAAAAGATTCACATAACTAAAGTCAAAATGCAGATCTCATCTTTCAGTTTCCCAAATCTCTAGAGTTGTTCCTCAAATCTCATCCAGAGCTGTCCCTGCATTGTCTTCATAGAGCAGAGTTCATCCCTAAATCTGTTTGAGATGTAGAAATGAGGACTGCCTCTCCCTGCTCAGGGTGAGGGGGACAATCCCCTGGAACAATCTTGGAGCACATTTAACAAAACTAGATCTCTTTCAGGATTGCAGGCTGTGCCCAGGTATTTTCTGAAATAGTGGCAGCAACTATTAAATAATTGCTGAATTATTTTGAATTGTTGAATTATTACATTATTATATGAATTATTAAATATATCTATTATATGATGCTTACCTCTGCTCCAGTGAAATGCACCCAGAAGAAAATACAGCACTCAAGAGGGAAAGTCCAGTGACCAAGAGACAGGAATGCCCACTTCTAAGGGAACAGTCCTTCTTCCAGTCACAAAGCACTTCCATATTTTACATTTAGCAGCTTTGGATGAAATGGTATAAACCTGTAAAGGAATCACACTCTATAGTTTTTGCTTTTACACATCAAGACTGCAGAGAAATTTTTCACTCTTCAGTATCTCACATCTACTTTTAAATCAGGGTTAGAGAGAAATAATTCTGAAGAAGGGTGACAAATGCAAGTTCATAAGTGGTTTCTGCTCAGATTTTAACTTAGCAATAATGCACATTAAATGGGCAACAAAATCTTGTCATTTGGAAAAAAAAATACCTAATATAGTCAAGTAAAAAGTTTGCAGATTTTTGTCCTAAATACAGATTATTTGAACAGAAACTATCACTCCTTAGTCGTACATCTACACATATAACTCAGTGTACATTGGCCTGAGTGCATTTTGCTGAAATTACTCCAGAGGGGAATTAAGTCCTGACTAGTTCTTTCCTGGGAAAATCCAAACCTATTATGTAGGTTAGGAGTGTAAACAGGCTCAAAACAGAGAGGAAAATCCATTATCATCTATTAAATGTTCTGGTAAAGACTGCAGGTGTATTTCAAGAGAAGACTAACTTGCTGGAAGTAATGGGAATGTTCCTATGTATTGTCCCTGTGTATTGTCCCTGTTCTCCTGCCTTATACTTCCATTGCTAGCTGCTGCTGCTGGAAATGGGCTGCAGGGGAGCTTTGGGTGATCATTGCACTTCTCTCTCCAGAACATCTTCTTACTTTCTGTGTTCTTATCAGTCCTATGATCCCCTCTGCTCCTTAAGGACAAAGAGCATCCTACATACTCCCAGTTCCCCTCCGGGATAAGAAAGTTAATTAGTTCCTAGATCATTTTGAAGGCCAAAGCAGTTGCCCTGCTATTCTTGCTTTGTCAGAAGCACAGAAGACCAGCTGCCAGGATTTGTGCTTCCTCCAGGCACATTTTGGGGCATGCTAGTTTGACACTTTTCTTTAGTAGTTACTTGGAATTCATAAGACTTTCCAGCAGTGGAGACATCACTTACCTACTTCACACATGTAAAAGCACTCACCCATCAGTCTGGGCTAGTCACCACAAAATTCAGCAGTGGATTGGCCATTAAAAAAAAAATTGTCTATTCAGAGAGCCCTAAAACCTTAATCACATCCCAGCTAGACAGACTGAAAGATAATAATAAAAACTGAAATCCTGGGGGAGAACTCAGGATTTCAGAATGCCCTATGGGTGGCTCCCACTGCCAGAGGGAGAGGACAAACTCCAGAAATCAGCAACTTGTGCCAAGAACACTAAGCAAGTAACATTTTGTTTAAAACTGAGAGCTGAAGTTGGCAAAAGGACTGCAGATGCTGTAAATGTCACTTGTGCATGAAAGACAGAGGTAGCCACTTAAGCTATTAGTACTCAAAACATTTAAGGATTTATGGATCAGATGTGCCTTAAAGAGGAGGTGCAGCCTGGCAGGCAGTTAAGATCATGCAGTCCTGGTGGCATGTACTTTCTGCTTGGGAAATTCCCTTTCCTAAGCTGGCAGCTATGCCCTCCTCCAGCTGTACCCTCCAGATTTCTGGTGCAACACCTGCTGCAAGCCTCAAGTTAAGAAAGAAGGTGATGACTGAAATGAAACCCAAAATAAATTGTCCCAGGCAATAATAAATATTCATCAAAGGTACTTGTGTCATCTTTGCTTGCGTGAGCATCCAGAAAATGATAGAGACATAACAAAACTTGAGGAGCAAACATCAATTGTGCCTAATTCAGGCAAGCTGAAACATCATATACAGTTTCTCCTACTTGATTTTTCCCTTCCATAATAATTTTTTACATTTGTCTGAGCCAGAACACCTGGGAGCCAGCTCCCATTTGTGTCCCAATACACTACAGCTATTGGATAATAGCACTTCAGGTGCATCAGAGGAGAATCAGATACACAGTCACTGATCCTACACCTTCCACCCCCATAGTCCCATGCACGAGCAGAGATGGAGGGTTGGTGTCTGCCTGTGGGGGAAGGATTGCCAGACACTGGCCTAGTGAGAATGCAGAGAAGGAAGGTGCAGAAGCACATAGCTGTGCTGCCTGATAGTCTGTGCATGACTCAAGCCTACTAGCAATGTAAACCTTTCTCTTGCCTTATCCAGGAGATGTTGCTTCTGAAGGAAGATTAGCTGGCTCATCCTCTTAATGGACTTGACTCCCTCCATCCCCTAGAGAAACACCTTCTTGTTGCAGACCTATAGGTCAAATTCCATTTACAAATCCCACAAGAATTCTTCACACTCGGGGTTTAATCCTTCCTCTCATCTCTAGCCCTAGGTCTGGCCAAAGATGGATCAACAGATGGCTAATTTAGATGGGCTGCACTGCCAAATTTATAGCCCAGTTTTTTCCCATTTTGTTCATTTATTTGACTGAAAGTCAGACTAAAATTGAGGTACAATGTGAAAAACAAGAATTAATAAACCTTTCTTGGGGGATTGGGTCAAGTGTAGCTCAGTCTGACATGTGCCTGTTCCTGTCTTTGTGGCAGGATAGCTGGACTCCAGACACCAACATGACTGAGCGCTTTGATTGCCACTACTGCAAAGAGTCTCTGTTTGGTAAGAAGTACATCCTGAAGGAGGACAGCCCCTTCTGTGTGAAATGTTATGAAAATCTTTATTCCAACACCTGTGAGGAATGCAAAAAACCTATTGGCGCTGACTGCAAGGTATGTCAGATTTGTGTCTTGTTACAGAAACCCTGACAGAGCAGCCTGGGTACAGAGCTCTGAGATCTGGAAGGATCTAGCCTAACAGCTACACAGGGGTTGCTTTTGATGGGAGAGTATGTTTTCTGGACCCCTGTATCTGTTTTGTATTATTTCACTTGGCAAACCCTTCTTTAGCCAGCATGGTAATAGAAATGCACTCCTGTAAAGCACAGAATGGTCTGATGCTCTGATGTAAGAAATTTTCTTTAATTCTTTGGGTGAGCCTTTCCTCAGGGCCAGCTGGGATCTGAAAGGGTAGCAGAAGCTGGTTGTGCCTACTTTTGGGTCAGAGGGAGCTAAGCCACTGCTGGCTTTGCAGTGACCACACTTCTGTGGTCATCAAGAGACACACACTCAAGAAAAGGTGCTAACTTGGAGGTCACAGAAATCCAGCTAATGCTGACACAAGTAATAAATCAGATAGAGTTAGAAAAATTAACCTTTTAAATACAGAATGATGATAGTGGAGTCTAATTAAAGAATGGGATGGACAGAGCAGAGGCCTTGCTTGCTTGCTTGAGTTATGCACTGCTACAAGACATGGAAACACCTGCCTGGTACAGATCAGTTGTGACCGCCTGTATTTCTTTTAAATTAATTTAAAAACCTGGAGTTCATGCCAGTTTCAGCCTGCCTGAATGAGGACAGAGGAACCATCCAGTGAAGTGTCTGTTACACAGCTACCAACAGACTTCATCTGATGTGCCTCCTCCTTGCATAAAACTGGCCTGTTCAAAGTTGGGCAAGATTTTCACTGACAGAGCAAGATTGCAGTAGAACTGCAATTTGTATTGCAAGCCCATAGGATTTTTCACTGACCCAATGAGATCTGATTTTTGATTTCCCATTGCTGATGATCCATGCCTCTACAAAGATAAACTAATTCCCATTAGTGATACTACCATCCAATCACTAGTTCAGAGATATAAAAATATGTGCTTACTCAGATTGGAAAAAATAAATGTCTCATACCTTCCAAATTGATCTACAACACCCTATTGGCAAATCAGTAGGAAAGTCCCTTTCAGAAGCCTTCAAAAGGTAAAAATTTTTCACCACCAAGACAGGGAACTGGCAACAATCTGTAAGAAGGTATAAAATTGCCAGCTTTCCTACAGCTCATAAATATTCAGGTTAGAGATGAGATACAGCTGGCCTGGCCTGACCTGAAAAAGCAAAATATTCCTGCCCCGTTCCAGAATGTGCTTTTGTTTTAAGGTCTCTTTCTAATCCCCTGAGAAGATATTTCCATGTGTTGATAGTCAAGAATTTAAAAACTTGGACCGGCTTCAACAAATCTTGGTCAAAGTATTCAGGAATTAATCAGGCTGAACTTTTCAACCCAGATTTATGTATTTAGGGAGTGTGGGTGTTATCCGACATACTGCTTTTCTTTACTTTTAGGTGAAGCACACTCTAATAACAGATAGAAAAAAAGAAAAAGAAAAAGCCCCAGCTGTCTGCAATCTAAGAATATTTTAACTATGTAAAAACTAAGAGATAGTAAATAAAGATTTCTTAAAGAGCTATAAAATGTGTCAGAAACAAACATGTCCTTTTTTTGTTTCTGTGTCTGCCGTTTGTGCCTGTTCATGCTGTAGTTTTTGAAGCTGTTGAGCAATTTTAGCAGATTCTGACAGATGGATAAAAGTTGAAACGTAAATTCCTGCAAGTTTTCTGAAAAAACTTGTGTTTGGGTAGAAAAAGAGATCCTATGAATGTTCTCACTGAGAAGCAAACTAAAGTTGTTTTTCAGCGACAGTAATAGACACTAGAGAACACATTTGAGAGAGCCCTTACAAGTGCCTCAGCCACAAGGTAAGTTTCAGATGAAGTGTGTGCACTGTGACTGAGCATAATTCAGCCATGAAACAGTCACAAAAAATCAGGCTTCTCCTCATTAAACTGTATGAATATGTAGGTATATAAATAAAAGAGAAATATACATACACACACCTGTATATATGCATTTTTACATAAATCTTTTTACACATACTTTTTCATCTGAAGAAGGAAGATAAATTGTACTATGTTTGAGAATGAAACCAGTGTATTTACTGCATGGACAAAATTGACTCCAATTTGTTTGTATGCTTGGCATAACCTAAAACTGTAAAATTTGGAATAAAAAATATAATGGAGTGACAGTGTCATGAGAACAGGTCACATCCAGGCCTCTGCATCTGGCAGCAGTGTCCACACTTACATCCACATTACAACCTGCAAAGTACCACAAAGTTCTCACATCAGATTTTCCTTCACAAGTCCCTTCTTGGCCACCATTATTTCTCTTCACTAAGAAAAGCTACACTGAGAACCAAATACTCTTAACTTCCTTCTTTCCCATCCTCCCAATTACAATCAAGCCTCCTATAACTGACAGGGTTACACCAAAGAGAAAGCACAGGTGCTGAGAAGAGGACACTTGTAATACTCAAATTCTGACAGCACTGGACTCTGAGAGGATGAAATTGATGCTGAATTTTCACATTGTGTATTAGCTATAGAGCCCACAGGACAACAATGCTGTAGAGAAACTTTCCTTGAATTCAAGTCAGGGGAGAAATTTCTTCACTATCTTTCTAGTTTTTCAGCTAGTTTATGGGTAACTGTGAACTTAACTGAGTAATAACTAATTTGTTCCTTGTTTCTGTTTGCCACCAGAAAATCCCAGAATGACAACATATGTCTGAATGCCACCTTTGGGCAAAAGTCATTTCATTAACTGTAAACACTTCTAGCTGATGCTTACAAAACTTCCACAGACAAATTAAAAGCTTCATGTACTGGCTGGTAGGAGGCACCAGCAGGCAGCCTGAAAATACAGGGTCATTTCTCTCACACCTATTACACATTATCCATATGCCAAAAGGTTACAGGAGGAATTTACTTTCCTAGAAAAAAATTGTCATTTTAATGGCTAAGTCCCTGGTGAATGCTCACCACACATTTTATGAAATACATTTTCATGCTTATTTCTGGAAATCCACACATCTTGCACCCATTTGCTCAACTGCTGAAGGGTTACTTTTGGTTGACTTTGGCTTTTTTAATACTTTCCTTGCAGATCCTATGATATGGAGACCTTACAAATACAGGAAATACCTTCAGTAATCCTGTGTTTAATGCAGTCCACAAGCTGGCCTTGCCAAGCAGAAGGGGGTGAAAAATCTTTCTGTGAAATGTGCAAATTAAATTATGAGTGGATTGTGAGATACAGCTACTGTGTTAGCACACAGGCCAAAAATGCCTCAAAAGGGTCATTCTCACACATAAACAAAACAAGAAATAAAACCTCCAGTAATGAGAATCACGAAAGAGAAAAAATAAATTATTTTTCTTGTTTTTAATATTTAAACCCTGCCCCGACATGCAACACTTTTTTAGCTCATTATTGAATGTCTGGCTAGTTTTTGTGAAGTGAAAAGGTAAAAGAAAAAAGTGAAATGGTAATATCTTCTCATACATGTAAGGGACTGAGCACAGCACAATATCACTTGTTTTTACCTTTTCTCCACATACTTTTATAGACATGTACCAGTCTAACATACTTAAGTGTTTTGCTACAGGGTATGTGTAGCTAAAATCCGCACAGCATTTAGTTGGCCCATTTCCTACATTCAACCTCCTGAAAAGACCATTGAGGTAAAAAAAGCCATGAACAACATATACAGTTACTGTTCTGGTAATAAACTCTCTAATCTCCTTCTTCCTACTGGGTCCCTGCTGACACCCAGAGAAGTTGAAACCCTGTTGTTCAAGAGAAATGGTACTGAATAATGGCTTCAGTTTGCTTAGACTTAAAAAGCCTGAGGAGAAGGCAATAAAAATGCAGGGTATGAGGAGCCCAAGCTTAACCCAGTTAACTGGTAACCCTAGTCTAAGGAGGTCTTATGGGTTTTTTTAAAAAACACATTTTTCTAAGTCACATGCAGTCCCACCCTAGAGGCCAAATAAACCATGCTGGAGCAAAACTGTACAGAGCTGTGGAGAAGCTGTAAAACTTGATCTTGCCAATGTTAACAGTTACCTCGTCAAAGTTTTCTTTGTGGGTGTCATAATGAAAATAAGTGAAAATACAACTAAAGGAATTAGTTCTATATCACTTGAACCTTCTGCTGGAACAGATTTATTTGGGTTACAATCAGCTAGCATAAACTAGAATTCATATGCCTAGACTAAATCTGATGTTCTTTCAGCTTAACAGAGGAGCAGCCTGACCGTCAGAAAGCTTTCAGTCAGTTTTTGTACATGATTTTCCAGTGCAGAATTTGCTCCAGATCAATACATCCACAGCTTATGAACAAGTCAAAGGCTCCAGTAAAATATACAACATGCTGAAATAGAGCAAACTTCCTTTTCAGTGACCTAAGAACACTCATGATGGTTTCATCAGTACCTTGGAGTTGCTTGCTTTCAGATGTGACAGATTCTGAGAGAGAAAGGAATATCCATTTCATCAGTCTAATATTCTACTGTCAAAGTCAGACATCTTAGACTCTCTCTACATTCAATGTAGAGTTATAGTAATCCAGAGAAGGTAAAGATTATTCAATGCACTTTTTATCTGAAGTACTTTTTGTTTAGTTTTGCTTCATGACTTCATGATGATGAAATACCTGCTACTGTCACCCACCCAGCTACTGCCTATAAAATCTTGCCATCATAACTGACTCAGGGATCAAATCTTTCATCTTTGACGCCTAATCTTTGTTTTCATTACTCCTCTTCTAAAAGGCATGCATCATCTGCAGGGTATCATTTCACTGATAAAATAAGCATACATCACCACATGAATTTTGGATATTAAAAAATTGCTTGCTGAAAATTGCAATACCAGGAAATGACAGGTAATGAGGAAAAATAATTCAATACATCACATTACAAGAGAGAGGAGATCAGATCCGTTGTTCTACTTTCTAAAAGTCAAATTTCAGTTATTTTGGAAAGCACTGCATATTGTATTTTTCTGTTGAAAATATGAGACCAGATTTAGGCTATTGGACATCTCCCAAAGAGAAGAAAAAAAATGTAAGTAACTTCCAAAGAAGATTGGTTTTCATTTGCTATTAGAAAAGATTAAAATATTACAGTCAGAAATTTGTGTTGTTTCAAAAGGATTTAGCTGAAATGAATAGATGAGCTGAATAAACAACTGTCTGAAAGATGTAGAGTGGAAGTCTAAGATATTCTACCAGAGAGTGCAATCTCCGGGACGAAAATTGTTACTCACAATGATCTAAAAAAATTAGGTGAGTGGCACAGATGTCCATACAGAAATGTTTAATTGCTTAGTCAAATTTTGACACAAATTACTAAAGTTTAACAAGCTACCATATATCACCTGAGCTAGATGAAACTGTTTCAGTGTTTCCAGCTAGATGTTTATGAGAACAAGGCTCCCAAAGACAAACTGTTATTTTAGGTTAATCTAAATCTGTGGTATCTTGCTCTGGTTTAAGATTGCATGTTTGGAGTTACTGTGACTGTACTGACTGACATAGTACAGCTTATGCCAGATAAGTATGAACCCTTTGTGATGCTTCACACAACTGCAAAGTTGGAATTCATTATTCTACCACTCGCTCTTCTCCTTCAGGTAATCTAACTAGTTTAGTGCCTGCAATAAATACAGAGTAGATCTTGGGCTAGAACTTGAGAACTTATTTCAGCTGAACTTCAGCTGAACTCCCTATTCATGACAACTCTATCCTTTCACACTCCCAACCCAAACCAGAGCCTCTATATTTTGGGGCAAACACCATTTCTTGTAATCATCCAAGCTCTATTTTGTTTGAAGTCCAAAGACACTGTTCAAGTGTTACATGTACAGGCCACCTTAATTTAAATTTTAAAAAAAGCACAATCCACTGGTTTATGTCACAATTTTGAGAAGTACTGTTTCTTTTAAATAATCAAAGGAACCACTGTGAAGAGTATTTTAAATACTAACATGCCCACACTAATCCCTTGGCCAGTACTCTGGATCATGGGATGCGGGTACAATGTGGTCTTGTATCTTTCAGTACAATCCACATCTGAAATATAGGTAAACCAAATCACAAGAGTCAGTAAAAATTTGTTGTAGTGGAAAAAACCCCAAACAGATCAGACTCATTCGCTCTTGGTGTAAATCTGTCAAAAAATACCAGAATGCAATTGGGAAAAAATACTTCTGTTCAGGAGTAAAAATCTATGAAATGAACTAGAAATCAGCAATAGATAAGGAAAATAGGGGAAGGCTATCATATCTATTAGATAACAAGTTTTAATCCAATTCAAAAGCTGGGCTTTATTCTCAAAGGAAATACCTAAGTGAAATTAGCTGCTCCTCTGTCACAAACAAAAAGGGTTACTTTGAACTGAGAAAGGGTTGATAGTTGTCATGAGCTGCTCTTGGTTATCACAGCAAAATAAGTTCACCTTTGTCAGAACATTTTGTTTTCCTCAAAGCAGCCCCAGATCCTGGCTGGAGTTCAGATTTGGATATGTCTGCATTCTCTGAGCTTCCAGTTGTGCAAACTATTCATTCCACTTACTCTGTGGTTTTGGATTTCTGCAGGATCTGTCTTATAAGGACCGCCACTGGCATGAAACCTGCTTCCACTGCTTCCAGTGCAAGAATTCCTTGGTGGACAAACCTTTTGCTGCAAAAGAGGAACATCTACTTTGTACTGACTGCTACTCCAATGAATACTCTTCCAAATGTAATGAGTGCAAGAAGACTATTATGCCAGGTTAGGATGCTCACTTTTTGGACTAAATAGAAAGCCCAAACTCAGCAATATTTGTGAGAAATGTCTCTCCTTGACTATCTCTACTAGGTCATGCTGAACTATGTAAAAAACTGGTGATGGTGCATTCTAGCCCACTTCCATGACCAGAACATCCAATGTACATAATGGCTTATGGAAGAACTTTCATTCACGTGAAAATTTTGTCTAATTACTCAAAATTTAGCTTCTCTCAGACAGATGAAAAATTGATCAAAGTGCCTCTGAGGTCTTTCTTGAGCACAAAGATATGAAGGAACAGGAAAGAGCTATTTTTATTTTGACCTTAAACATGAGGTTATAGTATTAGATTGCTAAAACCTGTTCTTCTTACAAAAATACTATAGCATTCTGTGATGATTTGAGGGCCTTAATGTTGAAGTGCTATCAGTGCAGGAATAAAATATTAAAAGGCAGTTTGAAGAATCCTTGTACAGACTCCATAATGATTACTAGTTACTTTGTCAGCTGGTTCTGACATTGGTCATCTCAGATAAAAAAGAGAAAACCACAACATTTTGCTCCTCGGGTGTAAAAATGAAGACTCTATGATGAAATAGAACAATATTTGAAAGGAGACAACCCTATCTATTCCAAGTTTAAACATCCCCTATTATTCTATATGCACCCATTTTGCTGACACAGAAATAAAAACTGACATGCTTGAGAATAGCCAGTACTAGTTTTAAAGCTGGAACTCTATGACACAGGAAGTCCATTCTCATCCCAGAAAGTTGGCTGTATCCTCGGCTGCATCTAACATAAGAAGAACACAGAACTGTTGGAGGAGGTCTGGAGGAGGGCCACAAAGAGGGCTGAAACACTCTGCTTATAAAGACAAGCTGGGGGAGCTGGCATTGTTCAGCCTGGAGAAGGCTCTGGGGAAACCTGTTTGCAACCTGTCAGTACTGAAAGGGGACCTGTAACAAACCTGTAACAAAGATGGGGACAAACTTTTTAGCAGGGCCTGTTGCAATAGAACAAAGTGTAACTTTTTTAAAGTAAGAGAGAGTTGATTTAGATTAGTATGAGGAATCAGTTTTCTACAATGAAGGGCTAAGGTAGAACACTGAAACAGGTTGCCCAGGGAAGTGGTGGATTCCCCATTCTGGAAAAAATTCACGGTCAGTTTGGGTGGGGTTCTGAGCAACCTGATCAAGTTGAAGATGTCCCTGCTTACTGCAAGGGCTTGGACTAGATGATCTTTAAAGGTTTCTTTCAACCAAAACTGTTCTATAAATCTATGATTCTATAATGTTATGTGTATATATTTTTAGTACTGCTCATCAGGTTCATTGCCATTATCAGTGATTTACTGGGTGGATCACTTTTTGTCTATTATGCCAGTTATACATAGATATGTAATAATGGAGGCTGGATTGAGTGACACAGAATCTCTGCTTCTCTTATAAGCCAGAAGAGAAGAAATCAGTTTTTGTAAGCTTTGCGACTACTCACTGGTCTCTAGCTGCTTACCCAAGATAGCTGAGATGTCACCACACTGGAAGAGCAGTACACTCATCATGTTTATTCTACCTACACAGCACACTGTGGTAGTACAGGAGCTACAGCAGAGGAGTATGGTCACCATTGAAAGCATAATTTATTTTGAAAGAACCAGCAACTGATTTGGTATCTTTTGTGGAGACTGCTAGTGCTAAACTTGCCCTTTGCTTTGAGCCACTAAATGCAAAATGTAGATCACAGAATTACAGAACCACAGAATGACTAGGTTGGAAGAGACCTTCAAGATCATCAAGATCCAACCCATACCCTAACACCTCAACTAAACCATGGCACTGAGTGCCACATCCAGTCTTTTAAACACATGCAGGGATGGTGACTCCACCACCTTCCTGGACAGACAATTCCAGTACTTTATCACTCTTCCTGTAAAAAACTTTCTCCAAATATCCAACCAATATTTCCTTTGGTGCAGCTTAAGGCTTGTGTCAGCTGCTGCCTGGAGACAGAGACCAACCCCCACCTGACTACAGCCACCTTTCAGGGAGTTATAGGGAGTGATAAGGTGACCTTTGAGTCTCCTTTTCTCCAGGCTAAACACCCCCAGCTCCCTCAGTTGTTCCTCACAGGGTTTGTGTTCCCAGCCCCTCTCCAGCCCTGTTGCCTCCTCTGGATGCGCTCAAGTGTCTCCATGTCCTTCCCAAACTGAGGGGCCAGAACTGGACACAGCACTCAAGGTGTGGCCTCACCAGTGCCCAGGACAGGAGCAGAATGACCTCCCTGCTCCTGCTGGCCACACTGTTCCTGACCAGGCCAGGAGCCCTTGGCCTTCTTGGCCCCAGGGCACACTGCTGGCTCATGTTCAGCCAGCTGTCACCAGCACCCCCAGGTCCCTTTCTGCCTGGGCACTGTCCAGCCAGACTGTCCCCAGCCTGTAACATTGCAGGGGGTTATTGTGACCAAAGTGCAGGACTCAGCACTTGGACTTATTAAACTTCATCTTATTGGGCTCTGCCCATCCATGCAATTATTCCAAGTCTTTCTGCAGAGCCCTCCTACCTTCCAACAGATTGACATGTGACAAAGAGCTTAGTGTCATCTGCAAATTTGCTAATGAGGGACTTGATGCCCTCATCCATGTCATCAATAAAAATGTTGAACAGAACTGGCCCCAGCACAGACCCCTGAGGGACACCCCTGGTGACAGGCCCCAGCTGGTGCAGCACCATTCACCAGCACCCTCTGGGCCCGGCCATGCAGCCAGTTCCTAACCCAGCACAGAGTGCTCCTGTCTGAGCTGTGGAAGCTTTACCATGAGGTGCCCATTTAAGTGGTTACAAGCTTGTTCTTTCAGTCCTTCTGCAAACCCAACTCACGCTGACTTCAGTCTAGTAGCTAACAAAACTGGGCTGTCCCCTTTTCGAGTTTCAATGACAATACCATCCCGAAGAGAGCACAGCTGCAAATGTAAAAATAAAATTCTAGACTATTAAAAAAAAATCCATATCTTCTTTCTCCAGATTATTTTTCTTTCATTGCTCCTTGACATGATATTGGAAGTTACCAGCATAGAGAGGACATTATTTTTAGAAGGTGTCTGTTAATAAAATGGAACAAAAATATTCAAGAATGTAAGCATCAGAAAGATTATTAATAGTTCCCTTACTACTGATGCAAGTCAATTTAAAAGAACAAAAAAACCCACCAAATAATCCTGTCTCTCAGCAGAATTTAATGAGATCATAAAAGAAGAAAAATATGCAACTAGTAAACAAAGATGAATTAATGCTTGAGAAGGGGGAAATTGTTAAACCCTGCAGTAATAGAGGCAGAGAGAATTGGCATCAAAGGCATTAGTGTGGTTCTTTTTCATTAGCCAACTCAATCAGTTCGTCAGTCTTCCAAGTATTTGACTTCATGTTTGCTGTTACAGGCTCCAAGAGCGATGCAGAACTGTAGGAAAAACATTTGTTTGTTTACCCTTCTGGCCAGTATCAAATATTTTGACTCAAACTGGTACATAGAAATCATACCATGTGCAAATAAATTTATCTGTATAATAGGGCATCTCCAATTTCCTGGAAGGGCTCAGAGTCCACCTGCCATACAGTGGACTGAATCTGCAAAGAACACTATCTGAACCCTAAAACTTTGTTCTAGAGAAGTGCATTTATTTTCTAACTACCATACTATTTCTCTGCTTTCCAATAAAAGGATTGTTCAAATTCCACATTTCAACCATATTTTCAATTCAACCGAAAACAGAGAGAAAGCTTTTTCTTACTGGAAGTTTCAAGAGACAGAAAAACATTTAGGATAGGTTCTGTTGAGCTGGAAACAATTGTGAACTTATAATACACCTCAATGAGAACAAGAAAAAGGCTCGAGCAGATATGAATGAATCCTTTGTCTCAGACAGAGACTGTATTTCATTGGGAAAAGGAGGCAAGGTGCTTGCCAGGAATTGCATGCCTCATCCTTGACAGTGTTCAAAACCAGGTTGGATCAGGTCCTGAGAACCTGGTCTAGTGAGAGGTGTCCCTGTCCATGGCAGGGAGTTTAAAACTAAATGATCTTTAAGGTGTATTTCAGCCCAAATCATTCAATGAGTCTGTAATTAACCAGGTACCTTGCTGCTATTTGAGAAAGATGCAAAACAGATGTGGAATGAATGAAGTCAGTCTTTAATGAGGAATGGCCTGACCTCCACTCAGCACTAACAGCAGCTTATATTGATGTCTGTCCAATTCCCTTGAATCTTCCTGTGCATTGGAATTCATTATTTGCCTAATAAGACCACAAAAAGCTGTTCTAGGCTGCAGCTATTTGCAATAAACATTTCTCTTCTTTGCAGGAGAAGAGATCTCCAAAAACCTAAAGTGGTACCAAATACCATGCAAAGCTGGTAGGAACATTAAATAGCCTCTAGCTCACAGCTGCAATGCTTCTGGACTGACAGACAGGTGCCAGGAAAAACAGAGCTACAAACTGCATCTATCTCATCCAGAAGCTCACTTGGTGCTCTATTCTCGTTACAGGTACTCGGAAGATGGAATACAAGGGCAACAGCTGGCATGAGACCTGCTTTATCTGCTACCGCTGCCAGCAGCCTATTGGGACAAAGAGCTTCATCCCTAAGGACAATCAAAACTTTTGTGTCCCCTGCTATGAAAAGCAGTTTGCCATGCAATGTGTCCAGTGCAAGAAGGTAGTGCAAGTTTTGCTTATGTGACACCTAAGAGATTGAAATCCTTCCCATTTTATATCCAAGTAGGCAGAATATCTCATTTTTGTATATGTAAAAAGATTAAGAATTAACTGGTTTTAAGAGATTATATAATTTCAATTCTACTTACTTGTAAGAGGAAACTCCCTGACAAAGTCTTGAGAAGCAGAAAGTAAATGCTTCATCTAAAATATGAAATAAATCAGTTTTCCCAATGAAAGGAAGTTGAAACACATCAGGTAATTCCTCCACCATGAAGAAAGGGACAGGTGAAGGAACAGTGAAGAGTCAAACTCTGGTAAATGCATATGAAAAGCAACATACAGAGAGTAGCTTGAAAAACTGAGTACAATTGAGAGTGAGATTTTACAATATATGCAGAATAAAGTACTTTTAGCATGGGGCTTCTTTTTATAAATAAGGAAATTACAATAAAGCACTTGCATGATTTTCTCAAGGTCAACTCCAAGCAAAATTATAATCTTGCTGTTGCTAAACCTTCTCCTCCTCCCGCCCACAAAAATCCCATCAACCTTCCTCTTTACCAAATCAAAATACAAACTTGCCACTCTTAAGAAAACACCTTCTTGTCTTTTTTTCCCTAAAACAGGCTATCACCACGGGAGGCGTTACCTACCGGGAGCAACCATGGCATAAGGAGTGCTTCGTGTGCACTGCGTGCAAGAAGCAGCTGTCTGGACAGCGCTTCACCTCCAGGGATGAGTTTGCATACTGCTTGAGCTGCTTCTGCAACCTGTACGCCAAAAAGTGTGCTGGATGCACAAACCCAATCAGTGGTAAGTCTCTCATGGCTGTTTTGTGTCTTGAGATGCTACTAAAGGCAAAACTAAAAAATGTCTGACCTGGTACAAGAAATGCCCAGCTAAACCTTTTCATGGAACTTCAGCTAGTAATTTTTGAGGTTAAGCAAAAGGCAATTACTACTAAGAGGTGTTTTCCCTTTTTTTTTCTTTTCTTTTGTACAACTTCAATACACCTGATGATAACTGCCATAGCATCAAACTCTAGAATGCTTTTTTACTAACTTGCTTCTTTTCCTGAGGCATTCTTCCTTCAGAGTTATGAATCAAGTCATGACACATGACAGACTTCATTTTTAATTGTCTAAAATGCACCTCTACAAAACATAAATTAACATACTCAGGTGCCATAAAACATTCTGTAAAAAACTACCAGAAATCTGTTCAGAGTCAGGTGCTTTGCTTTTCTTCTGCTGCACGTTGCAGGGCCATTTCATGGAAGCTCATTTCTGCCATTATCACTAGGGATAAGCCTTGCTCATTAACTTTGCTGAAAGCAACAGAAGTATTTGAGGATGAAAATGTTAGTCACTATAGAATAAGGATGGCAAAATTAGTACAGTAACAAACAGATTTGCCACAATGTCATTTTTTCACTGCTGTATGTCATATCTCTATGGTCAGTCTGCATGACCTGATGGCTGACCTGCCATTGTTTTCTTGTAACAGAACGATTTTGCTTTTCAAACAGGACTCGGAGGAACCAAGTACATCTCTTTTGAAGAACGGCAGTGGCATAATGATTGCTTTAACTGTAAGAAGTGCTCCCTTTCATTGGTGGGTCGTGGCTTCCTCACAGAAAGGGATGACATCCTTTGCCCTGAATGTGGAAAGGATATTTAAAGCTCAAACTAAGGGGTGAAGAAGAAGGGATGAAAGCCGTGCTTGCAATATATAGTCTGAAACACATGGATGTTTGGAGCTAGCTTTGCCACTCTGTGTCTCACTGTATTATTAACATTTCTTAATCTTTTTCTTTATACTCTCCAAATCTGGAGGGAAAATAGCTTGAGAATCTCTAATAGCAGTGTTGGTGTTTAAGATTTCTACCAATAACAAAAACTAATGCAAAACCCATGATGTAAAACTGTTTGGCTGTTTTTGACATAACTTACCATTTTAAAGATTTTTTTCCTAAAAAATATTCCAGTTACAATTGATGCAGTTCAAGGATAACAATGGCCACACACAATACATTAATAGGTGGATATCCAGGGTGAAGCCTTCTGCCCACTGAAATTAATGGCAAAGGACATTCAATTCCAATAGGGCTGGTGTGATCCCGGTGTTCTTGAGCTATGTGACAAGTGTGTGCTGTCAAGTCTGTAGAAAGACTGCAAAAGTAGAGCGTGTTCCAATGTACATGGATTTGTGACATGCCATAAAAAGATAATGATGAAACAGTGGAAGTGGGAGTGCTTCATGACAGGTACATATTTTATTGCATGTCTAGGTGATCATTGTGTGAAGTACAAGTTCTGATCGACAATGTCAGTATTACAGTTAGTTGACATTACACTGCACATTGTATTTTTCAAAATAAAACTGTTTAAAACAAAACTGTGATTGTGGTTTAATTGTCTTTACATAATATTTACAAAAATGTTTTCACATTCTGAAGAAACACAATGCATAAAAACACAGTCCTTTTTGCACCCAATTTTTGGGAGTGTGAAGTTTAGACAATTCTCAGAAGGGTCCTGCTGTACAACATAGTCTTTTACTAATTGAAGTTAGTGGGAAAATTACCAGCAAAAATAAAAAAGTGTGTGAAAACACACACTGTACTGACTGCAGCTGATAAAAATGTGTTCATAGGCTCTAAACTCAAGCCCAAAATATTTTTCTTCTCAGCAAGCAAGGAGGTCAAGACAACTCAAAAGACATCCATCTATCTTTGCAAAAGTCAGAAGTTTAACTTCTATAGTAGAGCATGCTTTAATTTTGTTCTCTATTGGGACACAAAATACTCTTTGTTGTAGCATAATTTCTGCTATGTTTGCCACAGCAGCAACTGTCAACAACAGCATGCTGGCAGGACAGTAACATCAAAAGGAAATAATACAAAGGAAGATAAACCTTTTCCCAAAGCACACTGCAAGAAATATGGCCATGTTATGTGATTCACAGACCCAGTACACCTTCCAGATGGAATTCATTTGTGTTCAGAAAAAGGAGGAAAGAAATATGTCACACCCCCAACAGGAATATTCAGATGTGAAATTAAGATTTAGGAATATACTTACTATGTGTGCTACTGGGTAGGGAAAGTTTTCTCCTTGAGTTTGTCTCTTAGCACCAAGTGCAAAGCGCTCACAGGTCATTCCCCTCTCATTAATTCAACCATGTAAATAGATGTAGCAGATCAGATTTAGTTTATTGCACACCATTTGAAGAACTTGGCTAGCTGACATTTTTGAAGTGCACACTGCGCTAATCAGAACTCAGTGAATGATTAAATTCTATTCCTTGGTGATTTCATTCTACGATGAAAGCTGTAGCAATAGCCACAAAAATCCCTCTTTATCCACACCTCTGAAAGGAGGGCAAACACCTCACTCTCCTCAAGGGTCTGGCAATCCCCAGCACACTGCAGCTCTGCTCTAGTGCTTTGCTGAGAGAAGAAAGATTCCTTTGAGCTAAAGGGGCAGTGCCCCTGTACTTGGCACTGATGAGAAGCCACATCTTGAGTCATGTGCTGCCCCTCACTACAAGCAGGACAGAGGTGCTGGAGTGTGTCCAGAGAAGGGCAGTGGAGCTGAAGGGCAATGGAAGGGGCTGAAGCTGGGAGCTGCTTAGCCTGGAGAAAAGAAGGCTGAGGTGAGACCTTCCTGCTCTCTACAACTGCCTGAAAGGAGATCATAGCAAGGTGGGGCTTGGCCTCTTCTCTCAGGCAGCTGTGATAAGACAAGAAGAAACAGCCTCCAATTTTGACAAGGGAAGTTCAGGCCATGTATTAGGAAAATTTTCTTGACTGGATGTGGTAAAGCAGCGGAACAGACTCTCGGGGAATGGTGGAGTCACCACCATCCCTGGAAGTGTTCAAAAAACACAGACATGGTGCTTTGTGATCCAACTTAGTGTGCATGTGGAATTCAAGTGCAGGTTGGACTTGATGACCTTGGAAGTTTTTCCCTAACTTGATGATTCTAAGAAGGCAGTAGGAGCAGCACAGCTTGCACCTTGCCTCCCAAGTGCTACAACAGGTAACAAAATGGCCCCAGCTTTGGGGAAAGGCAGGTGAAACATGCAAGGCTGGAAAGCATCCCAGCCTGGAAACAGGACTGCTACCACGCGAGAGCAGCATGATGCTATTATTCCAGTGCAGTTCTGCATATACCAACACACACATGCTCCTAGCAACTGGAACTACACAAAATACATCCTAGACTCTAAACCACTCACAGGAAGCCAGCCACAAAACAGAATTCCCGTCAGACTGTTACACAAGTGCAAAAATCAGCACTTCATGTGATACTCCCTGCTGCTACTGCTGCAAAGCAACTACTGACCCTTTTACCTTATAATGCTGATTACATCAAGTCTACTGAAATATAACTGTATAAAATGGATAAGCTTAATTACATCACAAAAACGAGGCACTGTTTCATTTGCTTTTAATTTAATTTATTCAAATAGGATAAGGCTACTTAAAAGACAAGTCTTTACATAAAAAAATGTACATTACGTTAAAGTTTGCTGTACTCAAGTACAAAAACTGCACAAATGTTTAGTAAAAGGGAGAGAGCACACCATTTCAAAACACACATTCTTACCATTTTACAGCATTCAAGAGGTGCCTTTTACGTCATAACAGTGAATGGAGAACTTCTGTAAAGTAAAGAACTAAGCTACACTTTTTGGTTTCAATATAAACCAATATTAAAAATGTAAACAAGCTTTCAGACCACCACCAAACTTCTTTTACTGGGTTAACTAAGTGGATTCAGAAGTTGATTCTTTTTTGTTTTACCAAGTCTGGGAGCATTCTTATTATTCTTATTTGCCATTCGTATCTAAAACTGATCTAAATTGGCTTCACCCTGAGCCACTGAGTTTTAACAAAAATGTTTCCATTAACTTAATTGGATTTTTGCCCTGTGAGGCACTACCAATAATCCAGATGAAACACCAAATTTCACAGAAAACCAAAATCCATCCTAAATTATCACAGGAAGGGAAAACAGGTTTGTGGGTTTTTTTCTAGAGTGCAATTACATGTGTTAATGCTCTCAAGGTACTTCTGTCTTCCTATCCACATCCCTCTTCAACCATCTGTCGGCTGAAAAAGCACTGGCCTGTATTCCATTGGTTTTCCCCCAATATTTTATAAATAAGCATGACTGTAACCAAGAAAACAATCAAATTTCCTACACTGGCACATTTTTACACTTATGCATGTAAAAAATATGCCTGTGTACTTAAGAGAACGTGGCACTACTCCATTCACTACTTCCTCTCGAAGTTTCATATCACGTATTTCCATCTGTGCATTCCTTGTTTCATATATCAAGAGAAACTTCAATTTGAAGTAATGCTGTTAAAACAGTTCATCTCTTATTACCAACCTAACTTGCACTGCAAATTCCACACTCCTGTGCAACAAAAAGGAAAAAAAATTCTGCAGACTATCTTATCAGCAGAATGGTCAGTTTTCTCACCTAAATTAATTGCCTTTTTAAAGCCAAGAAGGCTCTAGGGATCACTCTAAATTTCAACAGATATTTTAATATTTAATCAGATGTGGAATAAAACTGAATCTTAGTGAAACAATGTGCGAATCACAGTGACATGGAGGAGATGAACTATAATAATCTTGAAAACTAAGAGTGGAGGGTTTAGTATAGTGTAATATCACCACCTTTTAAAGAAGTAATTAACTACTTGGTGTACAAGAGTGGATACTTTTAAGGTGACTGGTGATAGTGACTCCAGCTTTACAACAGGGAGTTGTTATACTTGTTAAAACTTCACAGCAATCTGAATCTCTGTAAGTCTGTAAATTTTAAAATAATTTTATTTCAACTGTTTAAATATGACCTATCTATTTGAAAATATGGAAGTAATGTTTATGTTTTGAGCACCATTAGCTACTTCATGGCCATGTAACATGCTGGATTTTCTTCTTTGCTTCTGAAGGCTTTAGGTCATTCTGGAATACAAGAAAATATATAATTATTCTCAGAGATACTGTGCAAACAGGAGTCAGTCGTTAATCTGGTATATTTCAATCTGGTACTATTGCAGTTCAGCTACAGGCTACTACAACAGCTTTCTATTGCCATCTTGTGGAGAAAGCTAAATATCACAGAATTTCTCTGATGAAGATAAAAACAGAGCCAATGAATTTAACTACCTGCAAATCATACATGTGTTTTGGTTTTCAGCAACCAACAATTAAATATTCTTAAATATTTAAAAATTTCTTTCAGTTATGCAGCTTAGAAACAGGTACATACTGGAGTTTCAAAAAATACTTGTGAGGTTATTTCACGTTGTCTTCTTAAAATACTTGTTGAAATGGAATTGTATTAAGGAAAATTCCCCAAATACAAAACTAGGAAACCAATTTATTTTTGTCAAATAGTAAAAAAACGTTAAAAAGAAGAAAAAGAAAATCTGGTCTTCCTTTGTAATGATCTGGATAAAAAGAAGAGAACTAATTGCCAAAGCCTCAGATGAATTCATCTTTCAAGTCCCCCTGCCCAAAGAAACCTGTAAAAATCAAGAAAACCTAAAGCAAAGAAACACCAGATGAAGTGGTAAAATAGCTCCCTTTCATCATCTAAAGTAATAATAAAAAACAAATTCTGAGAAATTAGAGCTTTAAAGGCTCACATAAGCAGAGGAAATACAGGTATATGAGTTTTCAAGAGTATACTGCAACACACTGGTTCAGGGAGCACAATCTAGAGATTGCTGCTCTCTTTAAAAAACTTTCAGTGTTAGTTTATTTACAGGTTGAAAAGGCTGAAAGGTGTAAGGGAATTAGACCCAAAGATAATAGGGACAGTTCTGTGCTATTCATTAATTTTTTCTTGAACATCAAGGGACAGTCACTTGCTTGGAGACACAGTTGTCTTTACTGTCATCACACTAAAAACAGATCAGGCTTTACAGCTATCTGCCAAGTAAACGGATTCTTCCTGACAGCATCACTTTCTATTCAATAGCACATTTAAATTAAATGCAAAGAAGCTATGAGTGGTATACTAAACAAGCTTCAAAAGCTCTGTAGGTTCAGATCTGCCAATACTTGGAAGAGTTCCAAATACTGAAAGAAGTTAGTAATACTGGTAGTAGGAAACTACCTACACCTCTCAAGCATAAATTCCATTCAGAGCCTCAGCCATGATTCTTTTAAAAGCTGCTAAAGGTGTCTTTCACAACAGCCATGTGTTTTGGTACCCATGTTTAACAGAAGTCTGATGGAATGTACCAGGCCACACACCAGAATACTACCTACATTCTTTCATTAAAGGATTTTTTTAAAATATGTTAATATTTTTATATATTAC